TTTTAAGGGATCAAAACAGTTGGGTCGTTTGATGAAATTTCAAATGCCCAGATCACTTGATCTAGTGGCCTTGGTAGAAGAGATCTGGAAAAAAATCTCTTTCCCTTTATAATAAAAATCTTCTATCCACGAAAACATAGGGGAGAGAGCTGGGTTATGCACACACATGGCTTTTTTGGGAAAAAAAAAAAAAAAAAAAAAACCTCGTGGAATCAGAGGATGTTGCAGGGAAGAAGATATATGGGTTTGATTTCAGAGATAGGAAGAAACGATAGAAGAAAAAAAAAAGCAGTTTGCCATGACAAATTTCTTCAATTGTATAAGACATTTGATATTTTCTACACTAAATTTATTTTAAGATTCCTGAAATCTTTGTAGTTTATTTTTGGCTTTTTAGTCAAAATAGTCTTTGAAATTGACATAACTTCTTATATTGATCTCTGAGATTTGAAATCAATAGAAATGGTCATTAAGGTTGTCCACCATTAATTATTTTAGTCATTCGGTGAAAAATTATGTTAAACAAGAATCAACTTTAATAAACAATATGTCAAAATGATTTGATAAAAATTGAGGATATTTTTGTTACATTATCCTTATTTTATGGAGAACTCCACCTATGTAAGTTTATCTTACATTGCCGGTTTCAAGCCTGGATAAAAGAGGTGGGGGAGGGCGTCTGACAGCCGGCACTCATATCATACGTTGAATCCTTATGATAATGAATTTTGAATGAAATTGCGCTAAAGTTAGGTCGTCACTCGTAAGTGGTGCGCTATGTGGCCCAAGCACAGTGATAAGTGATCAAGGGTCGCTGTATCTCCATCGATGCCCAGATGCAGTGTTAAATTAGCAATAGGGCCATAGAAACTTCTTTTTGAACGATTCCACTCAAAGTTGTTTGGAAATATCTGCTCCTATCAACTTTACACAGGACACGCAAAAGAAGCATTTTAACCTTATTAGACGGGGGAGGGTAAAGAAGCTAAGATAGAAGGGTAGAGTTCAAGAGAGTATAATGCGTTTAGGAACGTGGAATATAGGAACCTTAACGGGAAAATCTATGGAAGTAGTGGAAGTTCTGGTGAGGAAAAGGATAAGCATTATGTGCCTACAAGAAACTAAGTGGGTTGGTCTTAAGGCAAATGATCTCGAAAACTCAGGTTTTAAACTTTGGTATTCGGGGCACAAATAGAACGAGAAATGGTGTTGGCATCATCATGGACAAGACTTTAACACAAGATGTTAGAGATGTCAAGAGGGTAGGAGATAGAATTATGACAATCAAGATTGTAATATGACAAGAACTCATCAATGTGATTAGTGCGTACGCACCTCAAGTAGGTTCGGATACGAGTTTGAAGGAGAAATTTTGGGAAGACCTTGGAGACTTGGTGCAAGGAATCGCTTAGACAAAGAAGGTATTTATAGGAGGAGATTTAAATGGACATGTGGGCAAGGAGACAGACAATTATAGAGGTTTTCATGGTGGCCATGGTTTTGGGGAGAGAAACGAGGATAAGAAAGCCATCTTGGATTTTGCAATGGTATATGATCTCTTCTTAGCCAACACCTTTAAAAAGAGAAAAGAACATGTGATCACCTATAAGAGTGGGTCGTTAAAAACACAAATAGATTTTCTTCTAATGAGGAAGGGGATCGTATAACTTTTAAGGATTTCAAAGTTATACCGGGAGAGAGCTTTGCTAATCAACATCGCTTGTTGGTGATGGATGTAAATATCAAAAGAGAGAGAAAGAGAATAAGACCTTGAAGTGCCCAAAGACTAGATGGTGGAATCTAAAAGGAGAAAAACATGCAATTTTTAAAGAGAAAGTAATCACCCAATTCATTTGGGATAAAGAGGGGGAAGCTAGCCAAATATGGAATTCCATGGCTAGTTGTATCCGAAAGTAGCCAAAGGGGTTATTAGGAGAGTCCAAGGGCTTTTCTCCACACCAAAAGGAATCTTGGTGGTGGAAATAAGAGGTACAGACAAAAGTTAAGGCTAAAAAGGAATGTTGTAAATTCTTATACAAGGATAGGACCGATGAAAACGGTGAAAGGTATAGAATAATGAAGAAAAAGGCGAAGAAAGTTGTGAGAGAAGCTAAGTTAGCGGCTTTTAACTATATGTATAAGCGACTAGATACCAAAGAGGGAGAATTGGATATCTATAAACTAGCTAGAGTAAGGGAAAAGAAGATAAGAGACCTAAACCAAGTGAGGTGCATCAAGAATGAGAATGGAAAAGTTCTTGTTACAGAGAACGCGGTCAAAGATAAATGGAGGGGTTATTTTCATAATCTTTTCAATGAAAAACATGAAATGAGTACTTATTTGGAGAAGTTGAGTAACTCAGAAGAGTGTAAAAACTACTCTTTTTACTGCCGAATTAGGAAGGAATAAGTGGTTGTAGCATTGAAAAAGATAAAGCATAGAAAAGCAGTGGACCCAGATGATATACCAATCGAAGTGTGGAAAGTTTTGGGAGAGACGGGTATAGCATGGCTCACAAACCTTTTCAATAGAATTTTGAAAACGAAGAAGATGCCAAATGAGTGGCGAAAGAAAACTTGATGCCTATCTACAAGAATAAGGGCGACGTACAAAATTGCATGAACTATATGGGTATTAAGTTAATGAGTCATACAATGAAGCTTTGGGAGAGAGTAATTGAGCATAGACTGAGGCAAAAGACACGGATCTCGGATAACCAATTCGGGTTCATGCCAAGGCACTCAACCATGGAGGTAATATATCTTTTACAAAGATTGATGGACTGATATAGAGATATGAAAAAGGATTTGCACATGGTCTTTATAGATTTAGAAAAGGCGTATGATAGGATCCCAAAAGACATTATTTGGAGGATTTTAGAGAAAAAATGAGTACAAGTAGCATATATCTAAGCTATAAAAGATATTTATGATAGAGCAAGGACTGCCGTAAGAACTCACAAATGACAAACCGAAAGCTTCCCCATAACTGTAGGGTTACATCAAGGCTCATTTTTAAGTCCTTACCTTTTTGCATTAGTAATTGATAAGTTAACATGACATATTCAAAATGATATTCGTTGGTGTATGCTTTTTGCAGACGATATAGTGTTGTTAGATGAAACTCGGGAATGAGTAAATGCGAAGCTTAACCTTTGGAGAGAAATGTTGGAATCTAAAGGTTTTCGCCTAAGTCGGTCAAAGATATAGTATATGGAGTGCAAGTTCAGTGCAAACAGAGGCTCAAATAAGTTGGGGGTGAGGATTGGAGATCAGGAAGTGTCAAAGAGCGACCGTTTTCACTACCTAGGATCTATCTTGCAAAAGAACGGATAGTGGGATAAAAACCTAAACCATAGAAAACAAACTGGATGGATGAAATGGAAGAGTGCATCTGGTGTGTTGTGTGATCGTCGTATTCCACTAAAACTCAAGGGAAAATTTTATAGGACGGCAATGCTTTATGGCATGGAAAGTTGGACGGTGAAGCATCAAATACGTACATAAAATGGGTGCAGCGGAGATGAGAATGCTTCGTTGGATGTGTAGGCACACAAGAAATGATAAGATTAGGAATAAGGATATCTGAGGTAAAGTAGGAGTAGCCGAAATTGAAGGAAAGATGATAGAAAATCGGTTACGGTAGTTTGGACGTGTGAAACAAAGGTCTACTAAAGCTCCGATTAGAAGATACGATTACGAGATAGAGGTTCAAGGTCGAAGAGGTAGAGGAAAACCTAGGAAGATTTTGGAATAGACTATAAGAAAAGACTTAGAGTATTTCGATTTAACAGAAGAAGTGACACAGAACCGAGCGCAATGATGTTCTAGGATTCATATAACCAACCCCACTTAGTGGAAAAATGCTTTGTTGTTATTGTTGTCCTTATTTTATTAAGATTTTCCCCAGAATGACCAAAATGATTGATTATGAACAAATTTAGGGACCAATTCTATCGATTTCAAATCTCAGGGACCAAAGCGAGGTGTTGTGCAAATCTCAGAGACCATTTTGATTAAAAAGCTTTATTTTTATTTAACAAAAAATTAAAACAAAGAGATGATATAGTTAAAAGGGAACAAAAAGGAGATTGAAGTGAATACTGATTTGGAATGTTTTCTGTTTAATATTGTGGTGAAGCACATTTGGGTTTGTGTCGTAGGGTAGCAACCTGGCTACTCACACGGTTGCCTCATTTACTGCCAAACATGGTGGTCTATTTGTATGGGACGGAATAGGCTCTGAGTTTTTAATTTAATATTTTTGCTATGGATGTAAACATTTCGATTAGATTATAAATAAAATCTATTTTTGACAAAAAAATAAAAAGAACCAAAATGTAAATGAATACAAAAAAGCAAAGTTAAAAAGCTAAAAATGTGCCAAATTAGACAAATGACTGGGTGAAAATCATGACTCCATCGTATGAATGGACGCCATGAGTAAATCAGTGCCATTGTACGAGTTCAAATGTGTTGCGTCAGTCCACGCTACAATGCCTCCACATATTAAAATAAGAACAAAATTTGGCTATTTAAATATGAGTGAGAACTCCTACTCAAAATTTCTTAAAATTGTTCGTTATCAATTTATATTACTTTGTGTTTATAATCAGAATCATTCATATAAATCACCCTACAAAGATCTTCTCTGCCAAAAATAAATTGAAACTAAGGTTGTTTAGTCATCAAATTGTTTAAAAACAAATGAACGGTATTGGTAAAAACATTACAAACCGTCTATGTATTTGCTATAATAGATTGACAAAACGATCTTAGTTTTAATTTATTTTTTGCAGAGATGATCTTTACAGTGTGATTTATAATATAGATGGTTTTGATCATAAACACAAAATTCCATAATTAAAACACTAGGAGTTTTGTGTATGAGTTACTAATCATCTTTGAAGTTGCCAAGTACCCTTCTTAAAATAATACCTGCTAAAACGTACCGTCCACACTCACTCCCTGCAAAAAAACGCGAATCTCTCTCTCTCCTCTCTCTTTCTCTCTCTAGAAAAAAAAACCATTTTTCGAAGAAAAAAACAAAAGAAAAAAGGAACCCACTGAAAGAGACGGATCCGGAAGAATACGAACCAGAATATAACCGTAAACCCTAGCCCTAGCCCAGCCGCGACTCACCTTACCCACCGCCTCTCTCTCTCTCTCCACCTCTCTCACTCTAAAGCGAGTTTTCCAATTAGGGTTAGGGTTTTTTCGTTAGCTGCATGTTAAGGGTTGGAGAATCATAGGTCGATTGGGATTTGGGATTTTTGAGAAATTAGGGTTGGATTGGGTTAGGTTTAGGGATAGGATTTCGGCGATGGAATTTGTGGTCGGTTGTGGGTCGGGGGGTTGTTGGCGATGACCGGAGGCCGATGTCACGAGAAGAAGAAGATGATGGGTAGGGGTGCGGACGGAGGTTGCGGCACCGAGGAGAGGCCTTGCCCAATTCCTAGGGTTCGGCCCAAAATTCCGGCTACCCAACTGGAAATTCTAGAGAAGTCGTCGAGCTCTTTGAGAATTGATTTTTTCTCGCAGGCTAGGAAGGCTTTGTGTGAGCGCTCTCCTTTTGATGTTCCTGAGGACGGCTCATCTTCGAGTGTGCCCACCACCTTGCCTAGGGGTTTGGCTAGCTTCTTGTCGAGGCAGTCGGATAGTCGAAAGCGGCATAAGAAGTCGCATGCCGGCGCTGAGAAGAAGAGTTTTCGGCAGAGAGAGAGGTCCCGGGGTAATAACATTTGGGTGGAGACTGAGGACTACTTTAGACCATTGACACTGCCTGATATTGATGCGTTGTCTCAGGTATCCGAGCTTAGTAATTTAGCTTCTCACAAGTGTTTTTCGATTCCGGTTGTGGGAAATGTTCCGAGGCGGAATGCGAATGAGAACGTTAATGCAAACGGAGTTGTTGTCAGTGAGGAGGATGCAAATGGCGGTAAGTCAAATTGTGTTGTTGTCAAGGATGAAGGTATAAATGGGGGGAATGCACATGATGCCATTGTCATGGATGAGAATGCAAACGATCAGAATGCTAATGATGGTGTCGTCAAGGCTGAGTGTGCATATGAATGGAATGCCAATTCGGTTGTAGTTGAAAAAGTGAATGAGAATGGTGGAAATGAAAATAGGGTTGTCGAAGACGAGGTTAAGACAGAGAAGGATGAACATTCCATGGAAATAGATAGTGTGGGAGCTTCTGGGTTGCCCCCTAGTGGTCTTGAGTGGCTTTTAGGGTACAGGAATAAGATTTCTTTAACATCAGAGCGCCCGTCAAAGAAGCGGAAGGTTCTAGGTTCTGATGCAGGATTGGAGAAAGTGTTAATAGCGGCTCCATGTGATGGGAATTCATCTTTATGCCATTTCTGCTGCATGGGTGATGCAGGGAACGAGTCAAACCCATTGATTGTCTGTAGTTCTTGTAAGGTTGGAGTTCATCAGAAGTGCTATGGAGTACTAGAGAATGTAGATGCTTCATGGTTATGCTCTTGGTGTAAGAAGAAGACTGATACTAGTGATTCAGTAAAGCCATGTGTGCTTTGCTCAAAGCAGGGTGGCGCTTTAAAGCCAATTATTAAGAGCGTTGAAAATGGTGGATCTATGGATTTTGTTCACTTGTTTTGCTGTCAATGGATGCCTGAGGTTTATATAGAGGACTTAGCAAAGATGGAGCCTATCATAAACGTTGGAGGAATAATTGAAACCCGCAGAAAGTTAATATGTAACATATGCAAGGTGAAGTGGGGCGCTTGTGTTCGGTGCAGTCATGGTACTCTTTGTTGCTTTACTGTCTTATACAATTATCGTTTCTGTTTTGGCTGGCATGCCAATGGAATTTTTGGTAATTGGCATATATGCTTAGTTTTTGGTTTATTAGACTTGAGAGTTGTCTAACGCAAAAGATACAAGGGTGTTGCCTCGACGTGTTGCATCTGTGTTAGGGAAAAGGTTAGAAATAATTTTGCTTAGGTAGTTTGTAGGGGTCATAATCTTATTACTTATAATATGTACCCTCTCCTTCCCCAGACTTAACTTCAATTGGTATTGCAATTTAATAGTTTGTGAGATAAGAGTGCAATGTTTTGGCAGAATACCTACATGGGTGTTTTGCATCATCGTACTTTTATCTGAGCCAGATGGCCTGTTTAGGTTTTATCTTAATGACCATTTGCAGGCTTAAAAGCATCTTAATAATTATGGTATATTGTGGAATCTGGACTGTGGCTGTAGCTTACAAGGTTAATGCACGTTGCATATGGCAGCTTTATTTTTTTATCAGCTTGGCCTGGTTGTGGTTCATATTATTGATGGCTGAGTGGTAAAATGGAGCTTCTATAAATTCCTAATTATTGCACATATTTACCTGTCAGATCTTTCAATTACTAAGTTATTAAATGTTTCGACTTTGGGATTTCGTTCACTATGCTAATTTTCTTTTGGCTTGGGGGTCAGGAACTTGCAGAACTTCGTTTCATCCATTATGTGCGAGGGAGGCAAGACAGAGAATGGAAATTTGGGGAAAATATGGGTGCGATAATGTAAGAGTTTTATGTATGTATTTGAAAATCGTAATATTTGTTCATCGCTGACTGCTGTCTAGTATTGATATGTCGCCAACTTATGATTGTGATCAACCTTTTTGAATAAAATTCCCAACTTTGATAAACATGTAGGTTGAGCTGAGGGCCTTTTGTTCAAAGCACTCAGAAGTACCAGGTAACAACAACAGTCAATTAGTATCTCCCTCTGTCTCTGCTGACAAGAACTCAAATGTCTCCAACCATCTTCCTATGGCATTGTCAGAAAACAAATTACCCAAGTTAAGGATAGGCCCTAGAAATGGTGATAAAACTGCAGTACCTATTGAGGCTCTAGATATTACTTCTGACAAATCGGGTGATAGTGAATCACAGGAGATAGTGTTTCCTATTCCAAGATTAAATCCTAGGCTGACATCGGAGTGTGGTAATGCACAGCCGATGATTAATGCAGGGGCATTTGAGAGAAGCAAAGAGGATGTTAATGCTTCTAATTCCCTTAAATTTTCTCTGATTTTAAAGAAGGTAAAGTATGCCTCTGGTCACTTATTCTCTATAAATTGGGAACTTCATGAGCTTGTTTTAATACTTATATCTTCTCCTGCAGCTGATTGATTGTGGAAAAGTTAATGTGAAGGATGTGGCATTGGACGTTGGTCTCTCACCTGATTCTTTATCTGCATCACTTGCTGTAATGCGAACTAAAAAATTACTTTTATGTTCCTGATTGGCTTCTAAAATAGTTTTAGCATGTCCGGTGCTTTCTTAAAATTTGCCCTTATGATGTAATGTCCTTCCTGCAGGATGGTACTATGGTGCCTGATGTGCAAGGAAGAATAGTTAAATGGCTAAAAGACCATTCTAACTTGGATTTAAAGCAGAAAAATGGAAAAATGAAATTAAGATCAGCAATGTCATCCATGGCTGAGTTTGGGGATTCTGATGGCTCTGAAGCTGCTTCATTATCGGAGTCTGATATGGCAGATGTAGCTGTTAAGTCAGTACCCCCACGGAGAAGAACCAAAAGCAGTATTAGGTTTCTGAAGGATGACAAAGTAATAAGCTCATCCAAGGGGATCTTTAATGACAATGGCACATTGGACAAGATTAAGGTTGATCAACCTGTCACTGATGAACAAGAAAATTTAAGTAGAGTGTCTGTCCCTGATCCTGTTGAGAAGGTAATGATTTACTTGAGATATGTTGATTATGCACGCCTTCTGACTAGTGCATTTGGATACACTAGTGTAATCTGATTGCTTGGTCGTTAGTACCTTATGATGGACGGGCATTATGTATAAATATCAATTCTGATTTGGTTGAGTGAGTTTTGTTTTAGTGTGTTATCTGTAATTCATGAGTTTTGCAATAAGCTTAAGAAAGCCATCCTCTGTGGCTTCCACAAGGTCAGGCTTTCTCTGTCATAATATGCGTTGTTAAACCATTGGGGGTATATTGTTGGACCTTAGTTTACTTATAGGTTTAGTTGAAGTGATTATGCTTAAAGGTTTCATGGGGTTTGAGCTTTATGGATGTTATAATGTACTTGTTACAATAATAAAGTTAAGTCTTTATTTTGCTTTTAAATAGAATTTCTCAGTAGTAATGGAAATATGTTTACTTAAGTGTGGCTTTGAATAAACACTTAATGGGGTGCCCCTCTCTCTCTCTCTCTCTCTCTCTACAGCCCCCTCCCTCCCTCCCTGTGTGTAATTTCCTACCTCAAGCATTCATTACTAAGATATTTCTTGTCTTTGCAGAATCCAACAGAGGCCGATGTGTTTCAACATTCTTTGATGACACATTCACCTAGATCAGAAGGTACTCTTCTCCGTTTCTGCTGGTTAGATGTCAGAAGTATGATTGAAGATTGTGGTTGTTCATGTGCATGTTGATTGCCTAGGGAAAGACTTCTAATTTCTGGTTCTGGGGAGATCCATACTAGGTGAACATAGCCAATTTCCTAATAGTGTCGTACAAATCTTAATTTAATAGATTTGAATAATATCTGGAGGGTTTGGAGTATCCTTGAGTAGGAGTCAGGAAGTTGTCTTATCCCATTGCTGAAAATGGTTAGGAAGTACAGTTGCATGCCTACACAGGAATTTGGATAGGCTTTGTTAGTTTGATTGTAATTTTTCCTTTCATGTTTTTTGTTCTGTATATTCTGTTGTTCAAATAGTTCATGTATAAATTCACAAGTTCATTTTTCATAGGTGTGCTTGAAATGTTTACCTTTCTGCCACTCTTGCCTCATTTAAGCTCACAATCAAATTATTAGTCTTCCTCATATAAAAAAGAATTTAAATTAGGGAAGTGTTATTGGCACTCCAAAAATCTCATTCTACACTCCTCACAAGTGTATTTTCCTTTCTAAATATAGAAAGTTTGGAGTGTAGAATGAGGAATTTGGAGTGCCAATAACAATTCCCTTTAAATTATTGTCTTCTATTTTTAAATCAGCTTAATTTACTGATAAGAGCTTCTGATGTTAATTTTACATTTGGCTATTATCGCCGTGCAATTTTTACTATTCACCAGCAGTAAAGGCTAAGGAAAGGAATGGGACTTGTGTTGACCTCATGTGATGGTAGTCAGTGTAGGAAGGACGACAGGAGCTATCTTTATTGATAATTACGTTCTTTGTGTGAAATGCCTCTACTTTGCGTTGTCAAGTTAAAGTTCTTTGTTTTGGGTGACATTTACTCTATTTAAACAATTTTCTATACATGAAAAAGTGTTGTTCTTTTCAAGTTTGAAGTTAGCGTCATTTCAGAATATTCTATTGTACATTTAGAGGAATGCTAAACAGCACACTAGTGTTGATGACCTAAATATAAGATACTTGCGTTAGTGAGGGAAGTCAGATTTGTATATAGTGCAAAATAAGTTGGGAACCACTCCAGAACATAACCATTTTAATAGATGTAATTGGGGTCTACGGTGCGCATGATCAACCAAATCAATGTTCTTTTGTTTGCAATTGTATTTTGTAGATGTAATTTTATTCCCTTAATATTTGTTCTAATTTGTTATGCTCTATTTGCGCTGTTTTTCTGGCGATGGGGAGTTACTACATTGTTATTGTACTTTTGAATTTGGTCTGTTAGTACATTTTCTGTTTGGTTGCATAAGTTTGTTGTCGTCTCTGTACTCGTTGTAGTCTTTTCTGTTTCATGCATAAATGACCCTTGCAGCATTAGAATAGGTTCTGGTGTATTATGACTTAAAATATTGTATGATGGGCAGGTCTTTTAGCTAAACCCTTGAATTGCAGCCTTTTGCAAATGGGTCAAGAGCAGTTGGGTACTATTCCTTTGCAGGGTACCTCAGCAATTGCAAATGAAGGTCAATCGTTTTCAGTTGCAAAACCGGTTATTCCTGAATTCAAGTAAGCTTTCTTTTTTATAATTATTTCTATTTTGCTACATGTCAAAAAAAATTTTGCCTGTTTTGTGATGTGATGATAGCTTTTCTGAATCTCGCAAATTCATGGTTTGCAGTAAATCTGAGGCTGAAGTTCCTGGTTTTTATGTCCATCCATATATTGAAAATAAGTTGTTGCAGATGCAGACTGGGGTGTCCTTAGAAAATTCAATATATGGTATTGATACAAATTTATTTATTTTTGTTTCCATTATGTTGTTATGGGTGAGTTTGACAGGTAGTTTATTTGTCAGGTTCAAGTGAGGGAGAAATTTCACGTCTGGAGGCATCCTCCCATGCAAGTGTTTGCTGTAATCACCAAAATAAGCATCCAAAATGCTGTGACATCATTTTTAAATCCGATGAGATGAAACTAGAACAGTTGGTTAAGGCTCGAAAAATGGGAGTTCTAGAAATCTGTCCAGGTGATGAAATGGAAGGAGAGCTTATTTATTACCAGCATAGGTTGCTCAACAATGCGATTGCAAGAAAGCATTTTACTGGTATATGCAATGCACTTGTCTTCCGTTTAGTTTTATTTTCACTGTTCCTGCCTTTAGTAGAGGCATGCAATACTATCATTTGATGTCATGTAATATGAATATTAACTTATGTTGTAAATACATTCTTTTGCAGATAATTTGGTATCTAATGTTGCTAAGAGTCTTCCATTGGAGATTGATGCAGCACGGAGGCAAAAATGGGATGCTGTACTCGTTAACCAGTATCTTTGGGAGCTTAGGGAGGCAAAGAAGCAGGGTAGGAAGGAGAGACGGCATAAAGAAGCACAGGCTGTGCTAGCAGCTGCAACTGCTGCTGCTGCTGCCTCTTCTAGGATTTCATCATTTAGGAAAGAGGTTCTTGACGAATCTTCCCATCAGGAGGTTAATGATTTTCTTATTTTCTCAATAACATGTCTCTTCGTGGTCATTTATTTACTTTCATACTTTGTAATTTTATTCTTGCAGAATGTGACGAAGTTGAATACTTCTAGTGGGAGGTCCAGCTTTTCCTCACAGATGATGCCGCGACCTAAAGAGACATTTCCGAGGGTGGCTGTTCCCCGGATTTCTGTGGAAAAACACTCTGGTTTTGTTCATTCAGTCACTGATTCTTCCAAAGAACATCCTAGATCTTGTGACATCTGCAGACGTTATGAAACGTTGTTAAACCCGATCTTAGTCTGTTGTAGTTGCAAGGTATTCATGCCTTTCTTATGGGTTTACTTTGATGAGACTTGCTACTCTGCTTGGTTTATGACTGATAACCAAGCCCTTTTAACAGGTTGCCATTCACTTGGATTGCTATCGTAGGACTAGAGAATCTACAGGTCCATGGTATTGTGAATTGTGTGAAGAAATGTCATCAACTTGTATTGCTGGTGCTCCTGTCAATTTTTGGGAGAAAGATCATTTTGTTGCAGAATGTGGTTTATGTGGTGGCAAAACAGGTGCATTTAGGAAGTCTTCTGATGGTAAATGGGTACATGCCTTTTGTGCCGAGGTATACTTTTCTGCTGCACACAAATGATGTCATTTACTTTTTTCATTTTTTTAGTGCTTAAAGAATTGATGTTATTTTCTGCTTCATTTGGTAGTGGATCTTTGAGTCAACATTCAGAAGGGGGCAAGTATCTCTCATTGAGGGAATGGTATGTGTATAGGTTATGCTGTGGCAGTTGTAATGTTGAACAATTTAGATTACTGTCATTGAATTTTTTTGCTTTTTGATAAGCATTGAACGTAATGTTCCAGCAATTATAACAATATGTCATTGAATGCCAGGAGACGATTTCTAAGGGGCTTGATTTTTGTTATATCTGCCGACGCAAATGTGGTGTCTGCATAAAAGTAAGAGTTTGACTTTTTCTTCTTCCCTCGTGATCTTATACTTAAGTGGAAATGTTTTTTGTCTTTATAATTAGGAAACTGATTGCCAGGCATCTGTATTGTTTGTCTGCAGTGTAACTTTGGCAATTGTCAGTCAACATTTCATCCTTCCTGTGCTAGAAGTTCTGGTTTTTACATGAATGTGAAAACTTTCGGTGGAAAGATCCAACACAAGGCATACTGTGAAAAGCATAGTGTTGAGCAGAGGACGAAGGTCTATATCTTTATCACCCCAAAGCCTCCATCTTTTAGTTGGTTGATGAGTTGTTTTGTTCATTTTCTTGGATTCTGAATTTATGCAGGCTGAAACACAAATACATGGAACTGAGGAGTTAGAGAACCTCAGGAAAATCAGAGTAAGTATCATTCTTGTGTTTAGTTTATTGTACAGTAATTATAGTTGCTCAAATACATTTCTAAGGCCAGAAGTAAAAAACAGAAGATTGAAGAGCAACAAATATGCCACACCGCCGTCAATTCTACCAAATATGCCAAGTCAACCCAACGTGTCACTCCTTTCATCACCCACCCATCCCTTTTGAACCACTTGCATCTCCTCTGCGACCCATTCAATTGATTGAGATGAGGCTTGGGATCTATCAGGAAGAGAGAGACAGGGAACTAGGTGGTGGTGGTTAGGATGAAGCGTGGAAATTTGGAATCGAGCAGAAAGAGCGAGAAGGGGGGAGAGGAAGGAGGGAGAGAGACGTAGGAAGGGGATGTGTTTTTTTGTCCTTGTATTTGATGGGTTTCATGGGTTAAAAATGGGCATAATGGGTATGGACAATAAAAAACCCAAGTCCATCAGACCCCCTTTTTTTAGTCCTATTAGAATAAAATACCCATGAATGTATAATCCATCGGTATAAATGGCCATCCCTAGGCGTGTAGTAGTTTTGAAAGTATTTGTGCCTTGGTGGCATCTCTTTTTGCAACTTGTTTCTCATCTATATATATGTGCTTAGTGATATTGTTTTTGGTCCATCACTTTAACTTCTTTCAACTTGCGTTTATTTGCTTGATGAACCGAATTCTCTGATTGAATTATGACATGAATGATCTTTTGCAGGTTGAACTGGAGAGGGTACGACTACTTTGTGATAGAATCATCAAACGAGAAAAAGTAAAGGTGAGGCATTTCCATGGTTCTGTTCATGGTTTAGATGCATGCTTTTATTGGCTCCCTGGTTATCAATTTAGTGTCTGTTATGTTTTCATATGTCTCCAATCTTAAGATTCGGAAAGAGGTTTTCTGTCTTTTGCCCTTTAACTCTCTGTTGGATCCATGGAAACAGTGACTTACTAGACCTACATATGGGCCAGTATGACCCACTTTCTCCATGGAATTATTATCTGGTGCATCTTTAGCTTTGCTGGAGATCAGTAAGAAATTGAGACATATGTATGTAATGTTGGCATCTGTAATGCCAATGGAGCTGGAGTAGCGTCACTAGCCACATGATTTGTACCTGACTGTTTATAGCCTTGGTTCAGTTCTTGTTTAATCCTGTTGCCTCTGATTATCTTAAGTTGCATATTTTCATTCCCTTGTATTTCTAAGGTACTTATCTTGTGGAGAATTTATGCTGAATAAGGTTTCTTTTGAATGCAGCGGGAACTGCTCATTTGTTCACATGACCTTCTTGCTGTCAGGAGAGATCATGTTGCTCGGACAGTGCTTGTTAATAGTCCTTTACTGCCACCTGATGTTAGTTCTGAATCAGCTACAACATCTCTTAACGGACATACAGATGATTACAAATCATGCAGTGATGCAATTCAAAGATCAGATGATGTGACTGTAGATAGTACAATTTCTGTGAAGCGGCGGAGAGTTCCTATAACTATTGACAATGACCCAAAAACAGATGATGACAGCTCCACATCCCAAAACCATTCTACCAAAAAGCTCTTGGAGAGGCCACAAGTTTCTGATAAACATATTCCTTGTGGAGCTTCTAGTGCTGCAACTTGTAAGCTTTCGGAAGATGGAGGATGGAGGTCAAAATCTAGGAAGGTATTTTACATTTTGCATAAAATATACACACGCGCGCACATACGTCTCTAGAATAAGCACAATAAGGTGTATGATAGAACTAACTGTAAACCTTCCAACTCACAGCATGCCGAGACTTTTGAGAAAGAACTGGTAATGACATCGGATCAAGCATCGATGAAAAATATGAAATTACCCAAAGGATATGCATATGTTCCTGCTGATTGCATTCCAAATGAAAAGCAGATCAACCAGGATGCTTGTTCTGGTGAACAACCGCAAGGAGACGGGTAGTGTCAGAAAACTTCCTCCTTGTGTTTAATCTGCCTTTGTGGAGCTCAAAAGTAATAGAGGACAAGCATTCTCTGCCCTCCATCCCATGGCATCACCTTGCCCTTCCTGGCCTGGAAACCACCACGTTTCTTGGTTTCAAAGGGAAATGGCCGAGTGGAAGCAGGAGGTTAGGTCATCGCCTTGTGCGTAAAGATTTCACGTCCTAATTTCGGATGTGTGTAAGTTTTGGCATCGTTGTATATTCTTGTGAGAGTTAACTGTACAGTGGGTGAGTTTCTTCCATTTACAAGTGTTGGAAGGCAGCGTGGGTTTTTCTTGTGTTTGTTAGGACTAAAGAGAAGCTCTGCTTGTAAACAGGTGTACAAGAAGCTCTGCCTGCTCTGTAAAGTTATTGTATATATCCTTACAATACCAATCCCCCGGATGCATCAGATTAATGGAATCGAGCGTTTAATATTTGAGCCGTGTCGTTTTTATTTTCCTAGTTGAAGTTTTGTCCAACTGACTCCAGTTTGTATGTTGGATGCTGGTAACTTAGAGGAATAAATACAATTCTTATGATTAATACGGTGGTGTATCATGCTGATTATATGAAGGTTTACTATATCTACAACATGCAGAACCTTTGCACACTAGCGTTACAAATACCAAATTCAAGTGGTATAATCACTTTTTAACTTCAATTGATATTTAAATGTTATTGAGATTATCTATGAAATAGTTTAAGATATTGGGGAGAACTAAATATTTTTATAGAGTAATTTCGAGGCTAAGTAAAAGTTTTTAACATGATTGGCCTAAGAACACATTAATGCGTGACTATTACTGAGATAGGGAGAAGACTATATAAGCTGAACCATTTTCTTTTAAGGTCGCAATTTCGAACCACGTTCTCATACTTTCTCAGCGTTTCTTTTTGTTGCCAAACTAATGGTTGACTGCATGCGAAAATATAAGAGTTTGAATGAAAAATAAAGAATTTGAATCCCACAACAATTAGGTATTTTGGCGAATGCCCTTTTGGTAAATGACATTGTATAATTTTGCAATGTCTTCTTTTTGGATTTGACGTGGTGGTCTTTTCATTGTTATAATCATAGTACAGAGAGATAAGCTTGAAGAACAACAAATTGTATAATGATATTACAATAAGTAATTTGGTTTAAGTTTTAAAATAATGAATTTGGTAAAAGAAACTCATCAATATAGGTTGGGTTCTACTCGACACAATTGGTTAAAAACCAATTCTTTTATTCTCTTACAAATAATAGAAATCAAGATTTAAACTTTGAACCTAATAGTGTACAGTTGTAAATTTGCATTTTTGAGATTTAATGATAATTGAATTTTATAAGCGTCCAAAAACTACTAGCACAAGAATAAAAGCGAAATTATCACACAAATAGGTTGAAGGAAATAAAAAGAGAGAGAGAGAGAGAAAAAAGAATGAATGCACTGGCATATCATGCTAATTAGATGAGGGTTTACCATACACAACTAGCAGCCATATTATTACTCTTTACCGATCAAATAATTTTCCCCCTTTGAGTCGAGTGGTATTAGGATGGAGTGGAGAAGTCAGGGTTACGTTAAAAAGAAAAGAAATTTAATCTTGGAATTATATGATATACAGCAGCCGGAAAGAGTTCCTCTCCTAATCTCTCCCTCCAAAATCCAAGGATTAAATGATCTGAGCCTTTGAATTTGATCTAATGGCTAAAAACAGAGAAATTAGTAAAAAATTGTAAAAGCTATAATAATTTTTAGCCGTTTGATTAAATTTCAAAGGCTCGGATCATTTGATCCTTGGGTTTTGGAGGGAGAGATCAGGAAATGATCTCTTTCCGCCTCAGCCCACCCATAGTATTCGGTAGGCCTGACAATTCCTGACACGACCCGATAACCTGACATGACACGATACGAAATTAACAGGTATTCGGGTCGACACGATAACGAATCGGGTCGTTATCGGGTAACCCGATAAGCACCTGTTAAGATAACGGGTTGGTTCGGGTATACATGTGGGTAACACGATACACGATAAGCAAAATATTAATTTTATAATTTTATAACCCTAAAATAATACTATAATAATTATATATATTAATTTAACAATTTTATACCCCTAAAAACTATAATAATTATATATATATATATATATTAAATTAAATATTAAAAATTGGTGACCATTGGAAAGGCTTAAATGTACATATCATTCAATTTCTGAAGTGTTATATGTACAAAATAAATAAATTTAAATCTACTTAATAAATAAATATATATTAACGAAAAATCACGATTTAACTATTTTATACCATTGAACTTGATGGGATACGAATTCTACGAAACTAATTTCAACGATCCAGCCGTCAAACTTATTTGTATATGCTTCGAGATCGCATCAGCAAAAAATCCCAAAAAACAAACATTCAGAGATCAAGTAACGGGACAAAACTTTTCGACGGTTATCAACGAAAAATCACGATTTAACGATTAGTTTAACTTCGATTTTGATGATTTTTTACAACTACACTCCTTGACCCTATATGAATACAATGAATGAACTCGATCTTCAATTTAAAATATTTACACTAGTGGATACCACAAAATCTTATGTTATACTTAATGAAAGTATAAATAAACTCTAAGTGTTAGTGAATCTATCGTTTTTATGGGATACGCATTCTACGAAACTAATTTCAATGATCCAATCGTCAAACTTGTTTGCATATGCTTCAAGATCGCATACACTAAAAATCACAAAAAAAAAACATTCAGAGATCAAGTAACGGGACAAAACTTTTCGACGGTTATCAACGAAAAATCACGATTTCACGGTTATTTTACCTTCGATTTTGATGATTTTTTACAGCTGCACTCCTTGACCCTATATGAATACAATGAATGAACTCGATCTTCAATTTAAAATATTTACACTAGTGGATACCACAAAATCTTATGTTATACTTAATGAAAGTATGAATAAACTCTAAGTGTTAGTGAATCTATCATTTTGATAAGATACGCATTCTACAAAACTAATTTCAACGATCCAATCGTCAAACTTTTTTGTATATGCTTCAAGATCGCATACGTCAAAAATCGTAAAAAACAAACATTCAGAGAACTAGTAACGAGACAAAACTTTTCTACGGTTATCAACGAAAAATCACGATTTAACGGTTATTTTAACTCCGATTTTGATGAGTTTTTACTACACTCCTTGACCCTATATGAATACAATGAATGAACTTGATCTTCAATTTAAAATATTTACACTAGTGGATATCACAAAATCTTATGTTATACTTAATGAAGTATGAATAAACTCTTAAGTGTTAATGAATCTATCATTTTGATGGGATACGCATTCTATGAAACTAATTTCAACGATCCAACCGTCAAACGTGTTTGTATATGCTTCGAGATCGCATACACCAAAAATCGTAAAAAACAAACATTCAGAGATTAAGTAGTGGGACAAAACTTTTCGACGGTTATCAACGAAAAATCACGATTTAACGGTTATTTTAACTCCAATTTTGATGATTTTTTACAGCTACATTCCTTGACCCTATATGAATATAATGAATGAACTCGATATTCAATTTAAAATATTTACACTAGTGGATACCACAAAATCTTATGTTATACTTTATGAAAGTATGAATAAACTCTTAAGTGTTAGTGAATCTATCATTTTGATGGGATACGCATTCTATGAAACTAATTTCAACAATCCAATCGTCAAACTTCATTGTATATGCTTCAAGATCGCATACACCAAAAATCGAAAAAAACAAACATTCAAATATCAAGTAACGAGACAAAACTTTTCAACGGTTATCAACGAAAAATCACGATTTAACTGTTGTTTTAACTCCGATTTTGATGATTTTTTACAACTACACTCCTTGACCCTATATGAATACAATGAATGAACTCGATCTTCAATTTAAAATATTTAAGTGTTAGTGAATTTATTGTTTTTATGGGATACACATTCTACGAAACTAGTTTCAACGATCCAACCATCAAACATGTTTGTATATATTTCGAGATCGCATACGCCAAAAATTGCAAAAAATAAACATTCAGATATCAAGTAACGGCACAAAACCTTTCTACGGTTATCAACGAAAAATCACGATTTAACGGTTATTTTAACTCCAATTTTGATGATTTCTTAGTGCTACACTCCTTGACTCTATATGAATACAATGAATGAGCTCGATCTTCAATTTAAAATATTTACAATAGTGGATACCACAAAATCTTATGTTATACTTAATGAAGTATGAATAAACTCTTAAGTGTTAGTGAATCTATCATTTTGATGGGATACGCATTCTACGAAACTAATTTCAACGATCCAATCATCAAACTTGTTTGTATATGCTTCGAGATCGCATATGCCAAAAATCGTAAAAAACAAACATTCAGAGATCAAGTAGTGGGACAAAAAATTTCGACGGTTATTAACGAAAAATCATAATTTAACGGTTATATTAACTCCGATTTTGATGATTTTTTACAGTTATACTCCTTGACCCTATATGAATACAATGAATGAACTCGATCTTCAATTTAAAATATTTACACTAGTGGATATCACAAAATCTTATGTTATACTTAATGAAAGTATGAATAAATTCTTAAGTGTTAGTGAATCTATTGTTTTGATGGGATACGCATTTTACAAAACTAGTTTCAACGATCCAACCGTCAAACATATTTGTATATACTTCGAGATCACATATGCCAAAAATTGCAAAAAACAAACATTAAGAGATCAAGTAACGGGACAAAACTTTTCGAAGGTTATAAACGAAAAATTACGATTTAACAGTTGTTTTAACTCCGATTTTGATGATTTTTTTTACAGCTACACTCCTTGATCCTATATGAATACAATGAATTAATTTGATTGTCAATTTAAAATATTTACAGAAGTGGATACCACAAAATCTTATTTCATGATGATCAATGAAAATTGAGGATTTTGTAAAAGGAATAAAATGCAAGCTTTGAGTTCCATTGGTAAGGTTTAAACTTTTGAGAAAGGCTTCACAACCTTAAAAACAAAAACTCTTTCATTTTGCATATCCTTGCACATTTAATATTTTGTAATAGACTAGTAGTATATGGATGTTTGTTTATTAGGCTCTTATTTTCAAGTGGAGATGTAGTACTTAAACGAAAAATATATTTTAATGTTTTGAAGTAATATTTATGTGGTAATGTGTGGTATGTGCAAATTTAAGAAAAAAATTATATTTTTCTTAATGGGTCATAACGGGTCGGATCACTTTACCCGTTGACACGACCTGTTAAGGACCCGTTAAGATAACGGGTGTGACACGACCCGACCCGTTAAGATAACAGGTGTTACACGAAAATGACATGAACACGACAGACACGATCCGTTTGACAGGTCTAGTATTAGGGTTGATTTGAGACTGTGGTGTTTTTTTTTTTAACAGCTTATTAAAAAAATCTGAAACATCAAATGTATTTGATAAAAAAAAGTGATTTTTTTTTTAAATTATTGTCAACGACAGTAGA